AATTTTCAATAGATTCATAGCTTCTCAGTTAATAATATTTTATATTGATTTAATTTAAATAACCATAGAAAACCTGGAAGCGTCGCTTACATCTCTGTATGGGACTTTTCAGCAGTGAGCATCCACGATCCCGAAACCTGGAAACGAAACCCAGAACTTCTGGTCTCACAAAAGATCGCCCGATCTTTTGACTACAGACTTAGTATCCGATGCCGTTTAAGTTTGCTTTCAATAATCCACGATATTACTCGACAATCCCTTGGATTCCAGTTTAATGGTCTACAGGTTGAGCGTTTGTACATGAAGCATTAAGTTTTACACTGGAAACAGATGAATGTTTGATGCTTTCAGGTCTTCAATAGTTGTTTGACATGAATTTTTTCATGATCCCAATGAAATCCGACAATTTTTACAACCCCACATGGATATATCTTGTATAATAGTTTATTGATAATTTTTCTGCATATGTGGGTTGAATTCATGAAGGATTGACTTTATTAGGAGGCATCGTTGAAAACCAGAGAATTGTTCCATCCTAGTATGAGTATTCTTATAGAATGCATATAGAAGACCTCTCCTAAGCAATTTAATTACGAATCCCTTAAAATCTCCAAGTCCTTCCTTAGCTACTGAACCTACTGAGTTGGTAAAAATGATTCATTAGGTTTCTTTCGGGTGATTTTACTTTGTTAAAAACATAATCCGTGATTTGAAGTTTCAAAGATCAATGTTAAATTAGTACATATCAGCTGTTCAATTACATTAAATTGTCATTGATACTTTAATTGGTATTAGCTAGTGAGGAAAATTATTCCAATTCATCTTAAAAAGTGATATTTCTTCATTACTTAAAGTACATTGAATCTTTTAAGAATATCTAAACAGTATGGAAATAAAAGATCAGTGAGAAATTTTAGCCGAAAACAGTTATTCACATCGACTTTCATCAAGTAACCGATTATTAAATCAAAGGGAAGTCACTAATTATTATGTCCTAATTTACAAACTCGTCAGAGACTCTATACACCACTAAACTCAGTCTCTTTGAATGCCATAGCAGAAATAAATTGTTACAACTGAAGAACTACTGACAAGTGAGAAACACTAGATATAGTTTGAAAACCACCAATGGTTATCACGAAAGATTACAGATAGAATAGAGATTATCGTCAAGCATAACATTTCTAGGCCCAACCATGTTTGATGTTTTGAGTGAATGTTACTGAAGAGCTTCCTTAACTGATAAGAAACAGCCTACCACTACTACTTCATCATATGTAAGAGAAGCGGAAGAGTACTATAATAAATTTCAAGTAAATGGAATACATTTGACAAATAACTTGATATCTAATTATAAATGGTTTCACCTTTCGATCAATTCATTTCCAGTCTACAATATCGTGAAACGTCGAAACATTTCAACAAGGAAGATTAAAGTTGAAAACTGTAATTGTCTTATTTGCAACTCATTAGATAAATATATTCATATCTTAGTGTAATTGTTAACATTATGTCTAGAACCTAGTGCATATCAATTCAAATGCTAATACACCATTTACTAGTCAACTAATTCCAAATAGTTAAAAAAACTGTTTAAAAAAGGAAGAATGTTTGTTTCTAATCATCCTCGATTCAATGCTCAATTGTTCATTTTCTAGTTTTACAACTGATTTTCTCAATGGTATGTTAGTTTCAACTTTTAATCCTTCTTTATACAGTAACAGTGACTAAAATTTCCCTGCATTACAAACATTTTATTGATGATCACGTTTATTTTACTCAATCATACCTATTTTCAATTATCCGATTGAAATTTGAACAGAGGATTATTGAAATCGTTGATCAATATTCAATGTTCAATTAATGAAATTTCATGATCGAATTAGTTTACAATTTCAATGATCAAACAATTTTTTCTTTTTCAAACATTTTTTTCTAAAATGTACCGTTTAATTCGCCGCTAGCTATTTACTTTCTCATTTAAACAATAAGATAATATCAGTAGCCCTTATATATATATAAACACATAAATAAGAGTTTGAGCAATACAGTACATAAACTTAGTGCATAGTGAATGAATTTTACTGACTTATGCTAGATAAACATTTAAACAGTTACATTCAAACTCATTCTGATATGCTAAGTGGATATTGTCCATATTTCCATATGTCAGTCATAGTTTCTTTTAAATTATTTATAAATATATATATATAGAAAAAAGGCACCTGTTAAATTGAACAATACAATTCATTCTATAACCAACTCAATTCATTTTTTTTTAAAAATATGATTTAATGAAATTTTTTATTTTTTGCTTATCTTAAACACAATTCGCCATTTTCCTGCCTGTGTTTATTGATTTGATCTCTCAAAGTAAAACCATTTTGTTCATTGGTTTCAATAAATGGTAGTCAACAGAAATACTACCCATACAACCCATCAATATGTAAGGGAAAAAAAATATAAAACTTTTTTATTTCACAACTAGACATTTTATAGATTACGATCACCTCAACTACGAAAAAAATAAGAATAAAAATAAATTTTTTTTAGTAAATAATCAACACATTCTTGCAATTGTATTACTGACCCAATCGTTTTGTTTGCATGAAAATTTCTATTCAACCATTGTACACACACACACACACCCTAACCCTGAACAGGTGTAATTAAAAATGATCAACTAACTAACTAACTAAATCAGTCTATTCATCATTTTTAATTGAAATTGTAGTCTACCCTATTTAAGATTAGTATGTGATCTTATCAGACAAACACCATGAGAGAGAGAGAGAAACCGCAACTATTGTATATGACTTTAAATGATCTATTTGTGTACAGTAGAATTTTCCACAAAAAAAATACATTTCTCTATGACTCTTACTGTTATCAGTTTAGTTTCTAACTTGTTGATATGTTTTGAACACTTAAAGATAAATATGTTGTTATTGTAAAATTAAAAAAAAAAACGCAAAACTTCTAATCGACGTGTTGCCGACACATGGAAATAGTGAGTTTTTTTTCATTTAAAAAAAAAATAGACAAACCAATTTGTCACAATTTTTTACTATGCATCTGCTTCAAAAAAAGTGTCCTATGAATTGACACAAAACTATTCAAGTGAATAAATGTTATAAAGTCTCAGGTGGAACCATAATGTTAAGTGAATGAATGTCAGAAGTTAATTTTTTTTTAAGTGAAATGTTAATTAAGTTTTCATTGTTGAAGGACATTTACATCAAATAATTATGTTATGATTTGATGATATGTTGAAGAATGAAAGGAACACTGAATAACTTACTACTTTGGTTTAATTCTTTCACCAAACCATACTTGACATGGATGTCATGAATTGACTGTTGAAAGATGAGAACATTGAGATGGAATTATTTTTCAAATATAAGTTTATGAACAAGACAACTTGATAAACAAGTCAAGAAGAAAACATATACGCAGGTTTCGTAGTAATAGACAATCGTCAATCAGTCAGTCAGTTACAAGGTGGAACGTCGCACGTACGTACATAAGTTCGGGTTGCCGTACCGCACACAGAGGCAACTGTCAGATCAAATCCCGTAGTAGTAGAGGTACTAGAAGTATCGGCACTAATCGGAGAGATTAGAGTTCGAAGAT